TTTTGCGCACTCTCATTCCTTGGAAATGGTTGAACGTTTTCCTCAAGTGCTTTTGATGGACTGCACTTATAAAACCAACAAATTTGGTATGGCATTCTTGTACGTTGTTCGCATGGATTGCTTCAATAAGACATTTTTTGTGTGCGGTGTTTTTTTAAAACACGAAACCCGAGCCAATTATAAATGGGCGGTTTCAACGTTACGTATGAAGTGGGTTTTGGTGCTATTTAGAGGAGTTCGATACTAGCATTATTGCTATTGACCGTGATTTGCCATTAAAAGGTGCTTTAGAGACAATTTTTGAATCCGGCATAATTCTTATCTGCCGTTGGCATATCATCAAGAACGTGTTGACGAAATACAAAAAATATGTTTTAAACAGATATTGACTGGAATACGTTTATGGTCAGATGGAATAGCTGTATGAACAGTTTCAATGAAGAAGAACGGGAGCGAAACGTGAGTGTCCTGAGAGATAATTGCGGGTTGAACGCACGATACTTCCCACTGTTTGCGTATCGTGAGTCAACATGGGTGCCGTTGAAAGAACATTTTGCCAACCCTGGGATCCATAAGCACCTTACCTTGGCACCATCAATACATCCAGAGTTGACGGTGCTCATAAGAAGTTGAAACGAAGACTGATGGTGTCTTTCAGTCATTTACACAAGGCTGCTAATTTGGTGAAGAGCACTATTACAAATCAATTACTTCTGATTTGAGAAAAGAAATATCAAGTATATTTAAAAAAACAATGGTACCGTTGCTGTCTGCCATTTTGCCTGTTGACACCATTATCTTTTGGGTTCATATATCTGATTGTCTTGTATCGGATCGGCTTTATATGATATACTTTTTTTAACAACTTAAATACTCAGCAAAGACGAGTCTTAAACTTTTAAAAATATTTCCACATCTTTATAAACTGTTTTCGACTTTTGAAAAATATTTTTTATCCTTTTCTTGTAATGCATTTTTTCTAATAGCTTTCGGCTTCGGACAAAATTAATTTTTTTTTCTATAAATTTTGATAGCAGTGTAAGAGATAGTTTTTTTAGCTATCTGTAGAATGTAGGATACTTAAAAGTGTGTTAGGAAAATAATATTTGTTGATATTGTTATTTTCTTGGTTTTATAGTGAGGAATTATCTTGAATACGTCATCGATTAATTTTCCCTTTGCTGGATCCGTATTTCAAGTATATTTCACTTCTTTCCATGTTCCAGAAATGTACGATTGTCGGCTTTTTGGGTTTGTATTGTGTTACCACTACTTTGTCAATTCCTGATTACCCTTTCGAATATATGAATATATACTTGGAATGCACAGCTTTAAATATGTATCGTACTGCTTAGTAAATGTTGTGTTTTAAGGAAAAGTAAAATTATAAAAAGACTATCGGAGTAGTTTGAGACTGATTATAAGATTGTCTTTTAATAATAAATGAAATGTACCAGTATTTATATAAAAGACTGTCTTCTGTGTTCATATCTCTAGTGCTATCTTGAAGTTATGATAGATTAACCATAAATGTATACAATTATTACATAGTGACTAATTTAGTCTTGTTCCAATATATGTTAAGTCTTCTTAACTCTCTTTGCTTTAAACTAAATTTTAAACATTTCTTAGACGTACTAAGTAAGACTTGTGATGTAACATCCTTATAGTTCATACTGTGACATTTATTGTAAAGCTTATATCACAAATGTTATCAGCATGGATAAACTTTTGTTAGCTCTAATATGGCTATATCCTTGCTAGGTCACCACACACTCCTCTGTTACTGTAATCATGTTTATTTGTTCACATTTCTGTATTCAAGATCTTATCTATTTTTTTTCTTTCAATTAAACGTTTTCTACTCTCATCCATTTTATATGTATTAATACTTATAGATATATAATGTCTGTTTCTTTCGTCCTCCCCATAATAATTATTCTGTTCTGCTCTTGCCTCGATCCACTCCTCACAGGCCCGCTAATTGAACGAGTTATCATGATTAGTTTTGTTTATAGCTCTGTTAAATACGCCAATACTGGAACCAGTCTCCAAAGCAATGATACCATTAGAGCAGCATTCGACTAAACAAAAATATGGTGGACTCAGAATGGGTTACATGTTTTGAATAAAAATGTTTCTGTGAAGGTTAAGGAAAAAAAGGGTTTAACATCTTATAAGAGTGATAATATCTTATATATTTCCTATGAAGCGCTGTTAACCGGATCCATAACTTAATAATAACAAAAAACTGAAAAACAAAAATGTTTGGAAAGTCTCCCTGTGAATCAGTATGTGATGTCATTTCACAAAATACGAAAACCTTAAACGGTTACGATACTTTTGAGGTCACTGTATATCCGTTTTTGAAATTCAGCGTACGTTTAAGGATGTTCTGATATGGTTTGCGACTTAGCTTATATGTGCAATTAGCTCAGATAATCCCCATACAAGTTTAGAATGCTTGAACCATTTCGGAACCGTTTCTAATTTCTTATAATGTATTTTGGTCATTAGTTTAATGTAATCAGGGAACCCTTAAGTATCGGATCTGTAGGGATAATGGACCAGAATTATCTGAATTATCGCATAATAACGGATAACGGACCGGAGTACCTTAAAGTCAACGGATTTTCAGGGATAACGGACCGGAGTACCCTAATGTCAACGGATTTTGAGGGATAACGGACCAGAGTACGCAAACTTATGGGATTTTGACGGATAACGGACGGGAATTCTCAGATTTTTATGATTTAGACGGATAACAAACTGGAGTTACCAAAATATAGCCCCAATAAACAAGCGAAACTTAACAGAATATACTATACAACAAGGAACGACATACAATTTTATTTTCAAGGCGTAGTCTACAATTGTAGACAAATAAATGTAGGGTGGACTTCGGAAACTCTCGCTCGATAATTGTCCACATCCGGTACTTTAGAGTATGCTTATTAAAGTTACCGAATGATCACAATCAAGTACGCGAATCTGGTATGAGACGGACTCGGGGATTATGGCGAGGAGTAGCAACAATTGGTTACAACACTCGAATAAAGTAAATCAACAATGATGAAATACATAATTTTATTAACCAAAGAATGTGTAAATATAAAAGATAAAATAAAAAAAGCTACAGGAGTCTTAAATCAAACTATAGGTCTGCAAAATTATCTTCCCATTGATGTTACCCGCAACATCTATCTCCGAAAGTATTTCGTTTAAAACAACAAGTTTTTGTTGGATATTTCGATAGATCCAGCTAACCGCAGGAAGACTTAATCCACGCATGAGAACCGCCAACAGATGTTTCATCAACATCTCCAATTGTTCTTCAAAACTTCGGTGGTATCTGGAGTATGCTTTGGCCGTCATTACTTCTACAGCCAAAATACCTGCCATTCTTAACAACTGAAAGACACGAAACACACGCTCACCACGCGTTCTACAATCCATAAAACCTACTGGATCAGCATCATTAAGCACTGTGATCTCCATGGACTCCCATTCATCGAATCCCTTGAATACATGGTATTCCGTAAACTGCAAGTAATGATACAGACAGATAATGATTTTAAAACAATACCCCAATTGAGACCTGGTACTAATTGTTCTTTTCATTTGACGCAAGTCCAAAGTAAAGTCATTCAAGGTTGTTGATTCTAACAATTGGTCAAATGCTTCACCTGTACCAATACGGTGGGTGAGTTGGTCCAACTCGTTAGCCCTATTCTATAATATTGTCAAAACGCCGACATAGTTATTTTTAATAATCGTCTGGTCATTCCCGTCTTTCTCCCACCAAAACAGCATCTATCACATCCTCTACATCCACCGCTGTTCCTTCGTTATCCTCAATGATAATAATTGATTCTGTACTACCTTCCCTATCAGAATCAACAAGATCAATCACATCCTGTCCTTGATCATGATGATCCTCTTCAAGATCAGCAACACCAAATTCTTTACCAGTCAATGCTGGAACCTCTCCAGAAGTAATACTGGTAGTAGCCGTTTGGCTATCTAATCCCCATATCTTCAGGTACGCGGAACGATATTCCGGGTCCACCAAAAAATGATTGGAGTCAATCATGTCTTTTACCGGCATCGGCTTTGGGCTGCGCTCGAAGCCAACACTAGTATTCGCACCCAAGTAAACAATGTAATGGCAAATTTGTGCCATTTGAAGACCTGTTTGGTCTATGATATTATGGACGTCGTCTATAGTACGACCAGGGTTAACCGCTAAGGCCTTATTCATAATATCGATAATGTTTTGCTTATCAGTTGAGTCCATGATTCTTGGTTGGAAAAAAAAACAAAAGAAAAGGATAACGGACAACTTTTATCTTCATCTAAATTATATAGATCCACTAGAACGCACCAATCACACATCCACAATTTCAAAAAGGAGATTAACAAAAAACCAAAATAAGTCTACTCTCTTTTTTACACGTTATTTCTTCTTCATTTCTATTGCGTTCCATACTATTCCCTCTCTGCATTGTTACTTTTGTTACCACAAAATGTAAGCGATTATACTCTGAAGGCATCGTATCCTGACTGTCTTCCCTTTTTGCTGCACTTCTGCTACTACAAGTATATTCTCTCTGGTGTACTTTACGTCGTTCTACTATTGTCAACACTTTCATTTAGTGATCACATCGTGTCTCTCTTACTGTCAGTGCACCTTTGATGGTTCTCATTTCAGTCAAATCGCATCATCCCCTTGTCGTTGCTTATCCTCTGTTCGTGACTACTCCATCTAATGGTAAAGACATCAACACCGACTATCAGGCAACACACCAAACATATACAGTCGGTCTTTCCACAGAAAGAGCCGTCGTTAGCCAACCAACTCTTTTTTCATCCATACCCTCTACGCTGTTCTTCATCTATTCACACCAAGATATCCTGTCTATATTTGTTTTTATTTCAATGCACATATTCTTGCCCACTTGTCCATGGTGCATATTCACTTTGAATCATACATCACGACTTTATAATCTGAAATTATACTTTCCGACAACAAGCGTATATCCTCGTGTATTATCCTCTGTTTTATCTTTCATCCCCTTGATCTGCCTCTCGAACATCTTGAATAGTTTGGTTAGCTTTGTTTTTATTGCAAACATTTAAAAGAAAAAGAGAAATAGACAAAAAAAAGATTCAAAAAAAAGAAGAATGATGAAAATGTTCAAAAATGATTAAAAAATTAATTTTTTTTCCCCACGACAATATATCGCCACCTTCCCTTTCAAATTCCACCCGTATTAACAACAGTCATCTTTTAACGCGTCTTTATCGACCAATAATTGGTTTTGCGCGCTTTCTTCAATACATCATATTCAAATTGAGTAAACCCGGTTATATTTGTCATCTTAACAATGTATCACTACCAACAATGGCACTTTTAACCGTTTTTTTAATTTAACTCTTTCAATCAATTTGTAACCAGGGCGTTTACAATTGTTTCCAATAGTCTGACGTCTACCCTATCTATCCGTATTTTTGGTTTATTTTTATCACTAAAACTCATCGATCAACATAACTTTTAAAAATCGAAAAAATGCGCGCCCGACAGTTTTGAGCTACGTATAATGGCTGTTTCATGCTAGTGTGTCTGTACCACATACGAAACAAACTCCTTCGTGACATTCATTTGGATTTCCATAATAACAGAACGAAGCTCTTCCGAAGGTGTTGCCAAAGGATAATAGACGACATCATTCCTCCTCCCATCGTGCCTCTCTTCAGAGCCAACATACTGCGCATCTCCGCAGATACCTTTCTCAATGACGGCCTTGACTACAATATCCTTTACGTAGTTATCATTGAACAGCATCCTAGTGAGCAGATCATAACCGGGACGAGCTGGCAATGCAGTGGTCTACATGTTATCCTTAGCAGTATCTTCAGCCACGTTATAATAATGAAAAGAAGTAGAAAAAGAGGGAAAATAAAAAATAAATTCTAAAATCGATACTTGAATAGTTTTTTTGTTTTGACAATTTCTGATTTGTGAGACAGGTCTGCAAGACTTTCTCAATTGCTTCGTTAGAATTTCGATCTTAATGTTACACGTACTGTACTTTGTTTTGAAACTGCTAATTACGTCAATTATACCTAAAGTTAGTCGCAATAGACGTTAATGTAATGTACATTTGATACGTTTACTTCCTCCAAAATTAAATGACTTCAAGGACCATAGCGTACAAGAAATGTGCTAAAATAGAATGACATGAACTAAGCAACAAAGAATATTCGCATTTACAATAAAAAAAAAATTTGTGTTTACTTCCGTAATGCTTTATGTAATGCCGAATGCTGACATACATTTTGGTATAACATGGAAGAGCTAATTAAACAGCCCGTGACTCTTTAAATATTAAAATCACAATCAAAATCGTTTAGTCAGGATTATCCACAATGGCATAGTCCATTTTTACAATTAACAAGTACTTTTTACTTTCAATCAGTATATTACGTGCAATGGAATAAATAAAACATGTATATTCTTCCTTGAATATATCACTATTGAAAGAAACTTAATTACTGTTTGTTTATTACAGTAGTCGCTCGATTTAAGAGTGACCAGAAATTTCGGAAATCTCACCCTTAAATAGAAAATACCCTTATATCGAAAATCGTGACTACTCTTTAGAAAACAGTCCCCAGGTGCCAGCTGCTGTTAAATTTTGAATATCTTATATAATAAAACTTTGGATACACTTTGTCAATCCTTGCATATCTTTATTTTATTCAATATGAGCAACACACGTTTACGTCTTACAATTTCCCAAAAAATTGAAATTTTAGATCAGTTTGGAATGGGAAACACCAATCAGATAGAGCTCGGAAAATGGGCACAAAAAAAGTTTGATTTAATAAAACCTCTTTCACAACAAACTGTGTCAAACATCCTCAACAATGCCGATCAGTTGTATTCTAACATTGTTGTTATCAAGAATAGCAAGAGTTTGAAGCTACCCAAGTATCCTCAACTTGACGAAGAAGTGGAAAAATTCGTGAATCATATGAATGACTGCAGCATACCAGTAAACCGTGCCTGTATCATCGAGTACGTCAAGCGCATCGCTCGTTCAAAGTACTCCATCACTGATGATATTACCTTCTCTGATGGATGGCTTTCCAAGGTCTTCAAACGTCTCGGTTTAAAATGTAGACCAACTCATGGTGAATGTGCCTCTGTGGATGTCAATTCCCAAAGCATTCAAGACCAGCTTAAAAAAATTCGGGAAGAATTGACAAATTATCCTCTTGCTGATATTATGAACTTCGACGAGACCGGATTGTACTACAATCAACCACCAAGAAGAACAATTTGCTCACAACCACTTGGTGGGTTGAAGAAGAGTAAGACCCGTGTAACTGTGGGGCTACTTTGCAATGCGGATGGTACGTACAAAGGCCATCCCATTGTAATTGGGCAATTCAAAAGCCCTCGTTGCTTCAAGAAAAACCCGAAAATGCTTTCAATGACAGCCATTGGTACCCGTCGATACGTGGAGTACCACCACTCGCCTAAAGCTTGGATGACTACCGAGATCTTCTCGGCTTATGTCAAAAAACTGGACAATGCTTTTGGTAGAGAGGGTAGAAAAGTGGCTCTTCTTTTAGACAATGCCTCAGTGCATAAGTTGAAGTTCAAGCCGGTGAACATAAAGTTGGTGTTTCTTCCTGCCAACACAACGAGTATGTTGCAAGCTCTCGATGCAGGTAGACAAAATAAACAAGGATACTGTTTTTTAAGTCGAAGTACTAATTTTATTTCACTTTATTTAGGAATTATTGCCAACTTTAAGGCTTACTTTCGCTCCCAACAGTACATGAGAAGTCTCGATTTGTTCGCCAGCAAACAGTTAGATAACTTGGATGTTTACAACATGAATCAGGTGCAAGCCATGTTTTTCTTGGCCAATGCTTGGTTAAAGGTAACACCTGAGACAATTAAGAATTGTTGGAGGCATACCAATATCTTGGGATTTAAAGAGAACCCTGACACGTTAGCTTTGCCACCCACTGTCCCCTGGCCTCTGGAAGATAACGTTGTCCAGGAGATCAACCATTTGTTGCCCGATCTTCCTGGTAATTCAGACAACGAGATCACTGATGTCAGTCAGCTGGATCTGGATTCTGACGAGATGTTTATCATCGATGATGAGGAGATCGTGATGGACGGAGAGGAGGAGATCCCTATGATACTTTGAACAGGAGATATACGTCGATATCAATGATTGTAAAAAACGGTTGAGGGAAGCTTATGAGACGATTCTGGCTTTGGATGTGCCTTTGGATGACTTGGACAATCAGTTCCATAGACGTGTTAGAATGAGATTGGCTGAATCTCGTGCTGAAATAGAAAATTTGAAAGAACAAGCTGATATTCGTCGCTTTTTCCAATAAAAAAATTATTTCTCTTGTCACAAATGACTTTAAAAAATGATGATTTGTTACTGATAAATTTTTTTTTTCGACTGGGCACCAAAAAAAAAAAAAAAAAAAAAAAAAAAACCCAAATATGGTAAAAACCCGTTCGATTTAAGGGTATGGGGAATTGGGATCTCACCCTTGAATAGAATAGTGGTTTAGTGGTGTTAATGCTGGGGACGGAAGTTGTTTTTCAAAAATCCACCCTTAAATAGAAAATACCCTTAAATCGAACACCCTTAAATCGAGCGACTACTGTATCAAAACCCCATGTTCTAGATAGCATATTCAGCTTATTAATAAAGAGTTAAACAAAGAACTTCGCATTGTGAAAACTAGTTTTAGCCATTCAATTTGGCGGAAGGAAAAAGAAAATCGGTAAAATATCTTTATCCCTATACAAACATTGGTCGGAGAACAGGACAAAATCTTACAATACGGAAACAGAAATCGAATACTATGTGCTACGCTACAGAGTGTTTTGGGATCCAAATATACCTATTTTAATTATACTGAGACACACCCTCAGTTATTTATAACATTCACAAAATCTAGTTTTTCAATCATAAAACAATGATAAGCACAGTAACAGCTTGTCACAATTATAAATATTTAATATCTTCCAATTAATACAGATAGTTAAGTTTCTAGAGAGATACTTTTCTTTTAGAGTAGTTTTAACTTTTTAACCTAGAATAAAACCACACTGGATTTATGGTTTAATTTGTTTTAGTTTTTCTGTGTAAACCAGTACACTTTACCACAAACTATAATTCAATCAAAATCATAGTTGAGTATAAGATCCACTAAAAAATGTAAACACTATCACAGCCCCGTGTGCTAAATCACACATAGAGATTGTACATATAATAAATTCATATCTCATCATCACTGATAAATGATAGCTAAATCATGATCAGGCATAAAAAGGGAATTCGCTAAAGCCGGTCACTATTTTAAAGTGTCACGGTATCGTAACACCAATGTCCAAACTTAAGACATGTTATTGTTATTATTTCTCTATTGACTATGCGTAGCACTAATTGTCCAATATAGATATTGTTATTGATAGCATACTCATATTGTTAAGAGTAGTATCCTCAGCCTCGTCCATTCCATTTATTATAAATACTCTTTATTTTTCCTCTTCTTAAATCTTTAGTTAACTTTAACATCAATAAACTCTGACAAGAATTCCAATTGATCCTATTGTTTTTTTCTACCTTTTTTTCTGCAAAACTATCCTCTTAAAGCCTACTATTGCTACACCGCGGACTCGGTAGTGGAATTCCGCGACACGTTGCGGAAAGACGCAACATGGTCGATAAAATACGCAACCATCGGAATATAATTTTTTTATTTAATTATTTCTTTTCCTTTGCTATGTTTTAAATTTTTTTCTTTTACAAGCATTGCCAATTAACACATCAGATTGAATAAAATAGTAATCACTCCATTAGATGAATTGTTGAAGAAAGTTTAATTACAATAAAACTTGTCTACGCAAAACAGAGAAAGATACGACCAGCCTACAAATCAGCTAAAGAACCAGCAGGAAGATGATTAACCTTTGTTGTGTTTTGAGGTAAGTAAAATTATAAGGCAGTATATAAGTAATTTGAGACTGTTTTATAAGATTATCTTTATTATGAAATAAAATGAACAAGTATTTATATAAAAAAGACTATCTGCTGTACCACTATCTTTAGTGTATCTTTGAAGTTGTTATCATTTTCCCAGTGTGTATCCTGTTACCTTTATCTACTTATTTTGTAAATATGTTACACTTGGAATTACTGTCATCTTAGACACATTGTACTTCCATATCTTTAGTAAGCCTTTGTCACTGTGTTTTTGTAACCTTGTGATATGATAGTACTAACTATCTATATTGGGTAATTGATTCCTTAATCATTCTTAATGTATTGATGTCATAGATATAGGTTTATTTAATGTAGCAACAATATAGCAGATCACCACAACCTTGTCAGTATATTTAATGTACGGCCAAACAATCTTGAAAAAGTTAGCGGAATCGGAATACCGTACAAGACCAACCACTTGGAGAAAGTCTGTAATGGAAATAACAGCGTACTTCTTGTATCTGTCACCCCTGGAATTCCGAGCAACTGTGACAACATTGTGAGCGTCGAATTGCTGCTGCTTCATTACTTCAACGATAGCCAAAAAAGTTTCTTCACCTTCTTGCTTGTGTGTAAAGTATCAGTGAACCACACCGACAAACCAAATGGAAATAGATCTAAATTTTATGCTGTAAGTACCAATAAAGTTTGTCAAATGTCTTTTGCTTACCTGTGACCAGTACTTTTGGGAGTCTTAAACAGGACAATATTATTTGCTCTTGTCTTTAAGTTTTTCAAGGTTATGTCCATAATCGAAGAAAATACCAAGTCATCGTTCCAAGCTCGACTTGCAATCACAATGGATGACGAGGTCAATTGCCGAATTTCATCCCCAACCTTATGATCATAATGTGATATCAATGCATCAATCACCTTCGATCTCGGGACACCGAAGCATATTTTTCCGAATCTGATCCAAGCAACGACTGAGGAATAAACGGACACCAGACTTGGGCACCAGAGGAATGCGAACGGTAGGTGTCTGGACGATCCGTAAATTCAGGGAATTGAATAGACTGCAGACATCTAACCGCCATCGTGTTATAATTCGCCTGGTGACGAAGGACGTTCGAAGCATTTGCCCCTATAAGATGCGTGGACTTGATCAAGTTGGTGAACTTCTTAATTGTCCGCTCCATTGGTCGGCAAGAGTAGGTGCTCTCAAGATCGGAAACCGAAAATAAATTGCCCAGTTTTTCTACAAAAATAGTAAAAGAAGTGCTTGAAAAAGCGATCTAAAAATG